GATGTCGCTTTAAGGAATAGTAATTAGATGAAATAAAAATACCGACCTCATGAGATCGGTATTTTAATTACATACTATTTAATTTTACCGACATTCGGAAGTCGGTATTATAAAATATTTAATTGAGAAAAAATTCCGACCTCAGGAGGTCGGAATTTTTAATGAATTACATTAAAAACCGACCTCTTGATGTTGGTATTATTTTCTCAATTAAATATAAAAAATACCGACCTAATGAGGTCGGTATTTTATATTAATTTATTTTTACTATTTAATTTTACCGACATACGGAAGTCGGTATTATAATTTTTTTTGTTTTTTATTTTAGACAAAACCTATTGAGAAAAAATAAAATATTGTTATTTATTTATTTGTTTAATATCGACATCAAGAGGTCGGTTTTTATTGTAATTCATTTTTTCCAGGAAAAATTCCGACCTCCAGAGGTCGGAATTTGGTTTTCCCGCTTTCCGCAAATCGACCTCCTGATGTCGCTTTTAAAAGTAATTAGATGAAATAAAAATACCGATCTCCGGATGTCGCTTTAATTAATAGTACAAATAAAAATACCGACCTCATGAGGTCGGTATTTTAATTACATACTATTTAATTTTTACCGACATTCGGAAGTCGGTATTATGAAATATTTAATTGAGAAAAAATTCCGACCTTAGGAGTTCGGAATTTTTAATGAATTACAATAAAGACCGACCTCTTGGTGTCGGTATTATTTTCTCAATTAAATATAAAAAATACCGACCTCATGAGGTCGGTATTTTATCTTAATTTATTTTTACTATTTAATTTTACCGACATACGGAAGTCAGTATTATAATTTTTTTTGTTTTTTATTTTACACAAAACCTATTGAGAAAAAATAATTTAATACCGACATCAAGAGGTCGGTTTTTATTGTAATTCATTTTTTCCGGGAAAAATTCCAACCTCCAGAGGTCGGAATTTGGTTTTCCCGCTTTCCACAAACCGACCTCCGGATGTCGCTTTTAAAAGTAATTAGATGAAATAAAAATACCGACCTCCGGATGTCGCTTTAATTAATAGTAATTAGATGAAATAAAAATACCGACCTCATGAGGTCGGTATTTTAATTACATACTACCGACATTCGGAAGTTGGTATTATAAAATATCTAATTGAGAAAAAATTCCGACCTCAGGAGGTCGGAATTTTTAATGAATTACAATAAAAATCGACCTCTTGATGTCGGTATTATTTTCTCAATTAAATATAAAAAATACCGACCTCATGAGGTCGGTATTTTATTGTAATTCATTTTTTTCGGGAAAAATTCCAACCTCCAGAGGTCGGAATTTGGTTTTCTCGCTTTATTTTGCATAAAACCGACTACTTGTAAATACCGACCTCCATTTGAGGTCGGAAATTTTTAGGTCGGTATTCACTGTTTTTTTACTAGTGATATGAAATCAATTGAATAACATGTAATTGAATCAAATCATGCATAATACCATTGAATATAAGTAATGAAACCATGATGAATTGAACCTATGAAGATTTGACATGAAATCCTAAGAATTAGATGAAATTGAAAAGATGGATTGAACATCTTTTTGGGACCCAATGGATGAAAGGAATCCATGGTGAAGTTCTCACATACCTTAACAATCAAAGCCCTAAGAATGCAATAGAATAAGACCTTTAAGTTTGAAACCCTAATTCTTCTTCCTGGAGCTTGAGAGAGAATTTGGAGAAGAATCCTTGGGGGAATTTGAGGGTTTTGAGTGAGTGGGAGAGAATAGGTAGTCTTTCAAGAGTAAAAGTATTTTTAAGGCATAGTTTAAGGGTCAAAACGACATAGTATAAGTGTTAAATGGGTAGGAGAAGACCGAAACACCCTTCCTTAAAACTGTCGAGCAAGTTCTACTTCTTCGACCTACGGTCTGTTGGAACTTCTATAGACCATCTTGGTCGATCATAGTGCACAATACTGAACTCAACATTAGCCAATTTTCCACAATATTCTTCCTAGGGATTGTGGAGCTTTATATGGTCCGTAGGAGCTCATTGTAGAACTCAGAGACCATACTTATTTTTTTCTAAGTCTGATCAACTCCTATGAAAGCCTTTCTACGGCTCGTTCAGCATCCTATGGATCGTCCTAGTGATCCGTAAAAAACTTCAAAGACCCCATTTTCACCACACTTCAACCATTCTCTTATGAATGCCTTTCTACGATCCGTAGGTTGGCTCATAGGAACTTGCACTAGTGCCAAAAATGACACTGTTCTAATCCAACTCGACTTATCAATTTTTGAGGTGTTACAATATATATTTTGGCATTTTAATATTTTTTAAAATAATTTATGTATGGAATTAAAAAAAAAAGAGATAATTTAGGTGTATTTTTGACCCGTATCTCTAATTTTAATAAAAAAAATTAATAAAAAATTGGTGAGCAGATAAATAGTTGAGTTTGAAGTTTCAATTGTAACAAGTATTATATTTAATACTTCAATATATACAAAATTCCATGATGATTATTTTGATATTTTCTGCACATTGCATAGATACAAAATAGTAAGAGGTCGTTTGATAGTTGGATGAGAAGTACGTTATTCATTTTCGTATAATTTCTGACATTTGGTAGATAAATATAAAATAAGCTATTCTTATATAATATTAATATAATGCATAATTAACAATACAAAAACAACGCATGACTAATACATATTTAAGTTATCAGAGAATTTATGTATTAACTTATACAAAATAGAAGGTGAAAAAATTAACACATAAATAATAAACTTCTGCATAACTAATATCATATATAAAATAATATATAAATTCATTCATAATTAAGAGTATGTTTGGCATTGCTGCTAAAATTGCTTCTTTTTAGAAGTATTTTTTTGAATAACTTTTCGGAAAAGTGCTTTTGGAAAAAATTAATTTGTGTTTGACTAATTTTAGGGGCTTCAAAATTAAACCCAACCTGATCCAACCCATTAGGTTTGGGTTAGTTATTGATCCGCCCATTTGTTAGCTCAACCCATTTCAATCCATTAAAATTGAGGTGATATGTAACCCGAATTGATTTTTGAGAAATCTTGTAAAAATATTTTTAAAAACCTTTTTTTTGATTTTATATGTTATATATAGTTATAATAAATATTTTTTTTATTAGGTACTAAAAGCTTATAAAATAACAAATAAAGCTATTAAAACTTAGTAAAAATTGGGTGGTTGAGTTATGACCCGTTACTAACCGTTTTGACCCAGCCCATTTTGGGTTGGGTTGGGTCTTGAGCCATTTATTGTCTTAACCCATATGGAACCCCCCCCCAAATTTAACCCAACACGCCCAATTGTCACCCTTAGCTAATTCAATTGAAAAGTGTTTTTGATAAGCATATTGTGTTTGACTAAATTTTTTTTTAAAACTTTTTGAAAGTCAAATTACAAAAAAGAACAAGTATCAATGCACTTCTAATATTAAGATTATTTTTATAAAAACAAATTTATTTTAAATATCTACTATAATTTTTTTTAATTAAACTAAATGGTACATATTCAAATTATTAATTAATCTCATACATAAATAAATAGAAAAATAAATAATATTAACATAATAATTTAAATATAATAAAAAATATCAAGCAAAACAATTTAAAAATTATTTTACAAATTAAAATCACCACATATGAAAATTCACCACAAAAATAAAAAAATATATGTATATATGTCGATGATAGTTTGGTCTTGAAAATAATAATTTTCTGCTTCTATTTTTATTTTTTTAAGAAGCAGAAATTTTTAGTTTCTTTTCAACAGCCAAAAAACTACTTAAGCTTCTAATTAAAAGCAATTTTACTAATTAGCCAAACTCCTTAATTTGCCAAAAAAGACTTTTGTTTCAAATTAAGTGTTTTTGGCCTCTTAATGTCAAAGCTCTAATTCTCATATTAATAATTCACATAACTTTAACCAACTACGATGTATAAAAAAAAAACATATACCAACAAGGGTTGTGGTGGACTGGTAAGTACTCCTTCATTCTTAATCAAGAAGTTTTGGGTTCGAGCCCTCTTGTGTACGGAGTCAGATTTGTTAGGGAGCGCTTTACCCCCAATATAGGACTTCCTGGCGCAAATTCGAATTTAGTCGGGCTCCAATGTGGGTACCGGACACCGAGTGAGAAACCGAAAAAAGGGAAAATTACGCGTATAAACAAACATATACTAGTTAATTAGTTAACATATCTATAGTTTGTCTTAATTACAATTCGTGACCTACTTTTTGCTATAATTACACGGCTCAACTTTTTAGTTTTGTATAATTCACATGTTTGTATAATTCAGAATTTGTATAATATAATTTGTATAACTTTTGTATAATTTGTAATTTGTATGATATAATTTGTATAACTGTTTACATTTATGATGTTTGTAATTGTATAAATTCGTTATTTTGAGTTTATACAAAAATAACTGCATTATACAAATATACCCGCGAATTATACAAACATGCGCATTATACAAATCCGTGAATTATACAAACGAGCCAGGTTAAATTGTAGCTACAACTCGTAAATATGCAAACTATAGTCATGGAGCATAATTAAATGGAAAAATTAGTGAAATACACGTCTTATGTTTCCCTTATTTTTAATATTCCCTTCTATTTCTAAAAACCTATAAAATCTCTTATTTCCCTCCTAATTCTAAATTATTTTATAATGTATCTGAGCTAGTTTTTAATGTATCCGGTTTATTTTATAATGTATTCGAGCTAATTTTTAATGTATCCGAGCTACATATTATGTATCCAGTTTGTTTTACTTTTTCAGGAATTAATGTAATTACAAACTAAATAGGAATAAATTATAATTTCATATTAAAACTATGTGATTCTTAAAATTTATACTAATTAAATTTATTATAGTGGTTATTTGCGAAAGTGTCCAAAAAAAAAAAACATATAAGAATCCATAAATAATAGAGTCCACTTGACCATTTCCCGCCATGTCATCTCTTTCTCTCAAACCGCTATCCATTCCTACATTCATCTCCGATAACCCAAACATCAAAACCTTCAAATTCCAACGGAACATTGCACTGCCCTGTAAATCACACTGCCAAACCGAAAGGGGCCACCAATTCGATGTCGGCGACACCTTCTTCCGCAGTGAAAGCGCCACCGCCCGTGACCTCGGTGTTCTCTCCGCCGCCCTCTACCGGAATACCACCGGAAGTCTCCGGGTTCTCGACGCCATGTGCGGATGTGGTATTCGTTCTCTTCGTTACTTAGCTGAGGCCAACGCGGATTTCGTCGTGGCGAATGATGCTAATGAAAATACCAGGGAGATTATTTTGGGGAATCTGTCTCGGGTCGCAAGTGGTTCCGGAGAAGGAAAAAGATGGGAGGTTAATCATTTGCCTGCCACTAGATTACTGGCTGAGTGTTACTTGCGAAAGGATTATTTTGACCTTATTGATGTGGATTCTTTCGGTAGCGGTTCCAGTTACTTGCGAGTTGCTTTGGATGCTGTGAAATTGGGTGGCTTGCTATACATTACCTCCACTGATGGGCTTTCTTCTGGTGGTCATAGGCCTCAACAGTTGAGTTCTACTTAGTGTTTTTGTGTGCCCCGCAAACTGTGTGCTAATGGCACATCTTCCCCCTTAAACTCATTGTTCCTTTCTTTATTTTTTTATTTGAGTTTCCTCACTTGAAATTCTGAAAACTGTTCCTTCTTGCAAATTACGTGTCAAATGTTTACAGTAGGCTTAGAAGAAGAGAAGTCTGCGCTCCTATGATTGATTGATAAAAAATCTTAATCACACCAGGTTTAATTACTCAGATGGCGCCTTAGGTAGAACTGCAGAGTAAATGTTCAGGAAACTAATTCAAAACTATACATAATTAGGCACTGGTATGACAGAAGGTTTTTGCAGATGATATTTTCATTGATAAAGATATCTTTGGTGTTTGATAAAATCAGCTTGACTCATACTTATCAAATTTTAGAAACAAAAGGGAGAAAAGTTTTAGGCTCAGTATGGAGTTACTTGTGGACTATAGTGCAATAGCTATTTCCCAAGTAGTCGTTTAAATTTACTGACTCCTGTCTTTGTGCTGGGATGATCATAAAACTCATTCTTTCTCTGTAGGTCCTTAGCTGCCTATGGAGCATATGTTCGGCCTTTGCCATACTCAAATGAGATAGGTCTTCGGATGCTTATAGGTGGCGCTGTTAGAGAGGCTTCAGTGCTTGGTTATCATGTTGTTCCACTTTTCTCGTACTACTCATATCATGGGCCCGTGTTTAGAGTGTTGCTACAAGTCAAGCGTGGAAAGTCTCTGTCTAGCAGGTAAAACTCGGTTGTGGACTTCTTCAGAGTTATTTCATTAGTACTTGGTGATGATGCCTTTGCTTCTCATGGCAGGTATTATAGTTTTATCAGCTATTGCAACCGATGTGGGAACACGAGAGCATTTTCCTGGAATGAACTTGGTGAGATCAGCTGCCCTTGTAGTACAAATGTATGCTTTCGTACCTCATAGGATATCGATTTTGGTATTGTTGCATCAAGAACTATTTAACCCATACTTATCCATTATCAAATTATATGACATTGGCATGTGCAAGGCCAGTAACTCCATTCCTAACCCCCTGTTCTAATTTTCATAAAATCCTGCATAAGTTTTACTCCAATCATGTCAGTAAATGTATGTAGCCTGGGGTGATCCATGTGGAGGGGTGTGGATTCACGTGTGCAGTGTACCCACGCTGTCGTCCTTAGTTTATTTATAGCAATGCTCTATCTCCACAAAATGACAAGAATGTATATGTGCACACAAGCTCAAAGAGTCCTATGGTGCAATGGTTATTCGGGGCACCTCTACAAGTTAGATCAAGAGTTCGAATGCCATGTACGACCTGTTTTTTCTGCATGGGGATGGGCATGTCTTGTGTTCCTCTTGCTTTTTAGTTAACTACTTTTTCTCTTTTTTTGTCTGGTTTTTCCTTCTCCACGTCTGACACATCGAAATCCTTATTTACCTTTTGTTATTGTAGTCTTCTTAAAATTAAATCAAATGCCAATATTAAAACTAGTAGCAACAGAGGATGACTCATATAGTCAATAGGTTTAACTGATCCCAACCTTTTTCAATATGGAGTACAGATATTCTGAAAAATTACTAAAATGAGTGGCTCAATGGTAAGAACCTAAAGGTTAGAACCAACCAGATATAAATCCTTGGATTCACCCCTGATAGTAACCCTTTAAATGAGTGGAGTTGTGTGTGCGTATAGTCAAACAAAATTATCATCAGGCTCACGCCTAAGCATTATACTTCTTTTCAGGTTAAGCGGTCACTTGTAGTTTCAGGACCCCTCTGGACTGGGCCTCTTCACAATTCTCCCCATTTAACGGAAATGATGAGTTTGGCTGATCAGTGGGGATGGTTTGGTGATGGAGAAGGAAAAAACCTAGAAAAGCTATTGAAACAGATGATTGACGAGAGTGACCCCAAATTGCCAGTTGGATACCTCAATGCAGATGAGGTTTTCACTAAACAATTTTTCTTTACTATTATTTCTTATTAATCAGAATAATTTACTTAAATGTTTGGGACCATCACACAATTTCCATTTTTTGCATTACTTTAGTTATTGATTGTTTTTACCATACTCTGAACTTTAATTTATTGTTTTATCACTTGCAGATAGCAAGTCGGGCTAAACTTAACTTGCCTCCCCTAAGTGTGATAATGAACAGCCTGCACAAGGTATGTCATTAGTGTAGGTATTACATGGAGTGTTTAGTGTTCTTTCTCTTTAATCAAAAGTAACTTTTCCATATTGAGCGTAAATATAACGGTTTCATTTATCCCGCAACAGTGAGGTCCCTTTTTTACAATATTTAAGATTTGTAGAAAGAGAGTCTGACAAGCTTGACCTTGTAAATTGTAATTGGTGTTTGCCACGGCAAAATGTAAAAAAAGAAAATGTGAAAGAGTCATTTAGGTAGGTATTGGAATATTTGACCATTGTCTCTATGTCCTTCAGCTAAAAGACCCCTTGGGTTTGATTCTAGAGCAGAACACTTTCCCAGTCCAAAACAAATTGAACAAAACTGTGTCCGCGCCGGAGCAGCTTGGCCCGCTGACAGAAACACAATCTACTTCCTAAATACCTTTAGTAGAATATTAAAATAGTTACTACCTTTGTCTCAAGTTGCTTCTCTTACTTTGCTTTTTAGTCTGTTTAAAAAAAGAATGTCTCTTTTCTTTTTTTGACAACTCTTTAATTCTAACATTCAACATGGCATGTAGACTACAAGATTAAAGGACATTTTGGTACATTCTACATATCTTTAGTTTAGGACCAATAGATTCAAAAGTCTTCTTTACTTTCTTAAACTCCATGCCAAGTGAAAAACTAGACAACAAATTGACATGAGGAAGGAGTAGTAAATATTGAATTTATTAACTTTGATGCATATGAAAGCCTCTTCAAATGATTCAGTACTTCAGTTTTTTTTATTTTTTTGCCAAAAAACAATTCAAAAACCGATTCTCTTGAAGCTAACAACAAAGCTGCTTGTTTTTTTAACCCAAACACCACCACATGTTATTCCTCTCTATCTAGATACACCAAAAAATAGTTGTTGGGATCATTTTCCATATCTTTTGATAGCCTTATCAACTCTCCAATAACACCAGCACTCATAGTTTCCTTCTTTATTTGTACATACATTTTGATATTTTAGACTCAAATTTGTTGATGGAAATGAAATTTATTTAGTGAACATATCAAACTATTAGGCCAGACAACAACATGTAAAGCTAGGAAAGGAAACTTTGAATGGTTTGAAGTTTAACCAAGCCTTGGATGAGCATAATGATGTTTTCCCACCAAATATAGAGAAAATGCTTGCTTATGGAAGTACTCCCTCTGCTTCAAAAAGAATGACCTACTTTCCTTTTTAGTCTCTTTAAAAAAAAATGACCTACTTTCCTTTTAGTCTGTTTAAAAAAGAATGACCTCTTTCCTTTTTTGGCAAATTTTAA